AGTAGAAAAAACAGTAAAGACACAGAAGTAGAAAAACCGGAAAAGTCACAGAAGTAGAAAAAACCGGAAAAGTCACAGAAGTAGAAAAAAACCCAGAAAAGTCACAGAAGTAGAAAAAAACCCAGAAAAGTCACAGAAGTAGAAAAAAACCCCAGAAAAGTCACAGAAATAGAAAAAAAACCCAGAAAAGTCACAGAAATAGAAAAAAAAACAGAAAAGTCACAGAAGTAAAAAAAAACAAAAAAAAAACAGAAAAATCACACAAGTAAAAAAACCCAGAAAAGTCATAGAAGGGGAAAACAAAAAAGTCTCATTTACTGATAACTGGGATGAAAATAAATAAATTTATGCCTTTTCAAAAGGACTGCGTAATTTTTTTTCTTACATAAAGTTCAGTCTGCCCTATTATTTACTGATAACTAGGATAAGAAGAGATAAATTCATGCTTTTCCCAAGGGCATCAGTATAGATATAAAGATAGATAGATTTGGGCTGGAATTTGAACTTTGTCTGACATTATTTTGTGTGGACAATCGTAATGTCATTTGTACAACCGAAAATTTTCTTATCTCATAATAGTGACAAATATTTTTAGCTTCATTTAGCAAAATAAGAAGTTAAAAGTAGTCCTTGATTGGGTATGACATCATTCATTTTATTTGTTGGTCATGATGCTTAAAGATACAGGTTAAGAATCGTCTATCTGAGATTCTTGGGACTGGAAGTGCATTAATTTCCAGAGTATTTTATTTAATTTTCAGGCTATTTAATTTGTATATAACATCTATAAAATAGGGCAGCTTGGTAATGGAACACAATCATAAACATGATACCACTTTACATTTCATAACACAACTTACACGTATACCTTGAAGGTAGCTTTATATAAGTGACATATGTTCACTCCTTCGCTGACAAATCCACTCTGTCAATAATGTCAATGAATGCAATTTTTTTCACAGTGAACAAATTCAGTGACATACATCTTCTACGCATGAATTTTCGTGTCAGACGGTATTTTGCCAGAATACTGCCCAGTCGCTCTCTGTATAGAAGTAAAAATAGCTTATTGACAATAAGCTTCAACTCTGACGTCATGGGACGATATAATAAAATAGGAGGAATTACTTTCGGAGCAACTAAAGGCAGGTTGAGAATTCTTCATCTGAAGTTCTTGGAAGTTTTCATATTTTTTTCGGATATTGGAATACAGGTTATTTAATTTGTATATAGCATCTATAAAATGGTCCGCTTGGGAATGGAACCCAAGCATAAACACGATATCACTTTTACATTTCATAATAGCTTATACATATACCTTGAAGGTAGTTTTATATAAACAGAATATGATCGCTTGACACTGATGAATTCACTCCATCAATAGGATATTGTCACATGGTGGAATATTATATATATATATATATATATATATATATATATATATATATATATATATATATATATACATGCACTTGTGCAAATTGGAAAAAAACAAATAATTCCATTACTATTTACTTTTTGGGGGATTAATCCAATGAAACATGGTCCAGTGCACATGTTAGTACTTCGTATGTCCATTGCACGAAATTGTTCCTTGCAGATTGACAATAGATTCTCGATTGGATTTAAACCAGGAGAGTTTCGAGGCCAGTTTATAGTACTTTGATTTGCTCACTCGTAAGGCTTGCCAGTGTGTTCGTGCAGCGTTACAATTTTCTTACGCTTCCTTGGAGTAATGTCCATTGCAGACAATGGCCGTAGGACAACTAATCGATAGTCAAGACAATAGTGTTTGGGTGTGATAAAAATCTCATTTAGTCACAGATGACGCATTATTTTTCAAGGCCAAAGAAATTTCATCATTCATCCTGAAAATAGATTCATATTACTGCACACCACTTCAAATGACCTAATCTGAGGAAAAAATAGAAATCGATTACACCCTGTTACTCCAGTGGGTCTAAAACTGAGCGTATGGTGCAAGAAAGGAAACTAAAGTGGTTGTTTCAATTAATGTGCACAAAGGTGTATATAATGCTTTTGTAAATACCTCATGAGTACATCACAGAAACTATAAATGAAAATAGATTCATATTACTGCAAAACACTGCAAATGACCTAATCTGCAAAAAAAATAGAAATTGATTTCACTCTGTCACTCCAGTGGGTCTAAAACTGAGCGTATGGTGAAAGAAAGGAAACTAAAGTGGTTGTTTCAATTAATGTGCACAAAGGTGTACATAATCCTTTTGTAAATACCTCATGAGTACATCACAGAAACTATAAATGAAAATAGATTCATATTACTGCACACCACTTCAAATGACCTAATCTGAGGAAAAAATAGAAATCGATTACACCCTGTTACTCCAGTGGGTTTAGACCCACTGGAGTAACAGGGTGTAATCGATTTCTATTTTACTGAACGTATGGTGAAAGAAAGGAAACTAAAATGGTTGTTTCAATTAATTTGCACAAGGGTGTATACAGGTGATAGCTAATCCTTTCTTCTTTCTTTCCTGGGAGGTCCTGTAGTTTTCTTTCTGTGTCTGCTATCAACAGTATCATTTGCATATCTTGTATTGTTAAGATTATGCTCCCCCCTCAATAACAAGTCCTGGTCAGGTTTCCAGCTCCCTAACAATCACCTTGCTGTTTGTTTTTTAATCAATTCATCCCCAAGTAAGTTAATAATGTCGCTAAGGTGCAAGCAGCTACTGGGAGTGAAAGAGACTGAGAAGACTGGAAACCTAATCGTAAACAGGAAACAAGGGATAAACCTCTACTCCTGTTCAAAAGACCTTGAATAATGTTCAAAGCACATCCTTGTCTTACACCTCTTTCTATTTTGGTGTTCTTACTAAATTCCTTTTCCATCTGTATGCAGGCATTTTGCACCCCAAATAAATTTTTGTGTCACACCATAATCACAAATAAAACTTAAAAAGTAAAACAGTGTTTGTCCACTCAAAACTACTATAGTTTGATCCAGAAGGAATCATCAAGCAGGGTAACAAATTAACACTATAAGTTGTTAAATGTGTTAAAACAGAAACTTAATAACTTCCTATTAGGTCATTAGTAAATTGAAAAATAATGCTTCTGAAATATTTTGATTTTTTTACCTTTATTGCGTATATGGTTCAGGTAAGACAACTCGATTACCTCCCCTGTCTTATGATTTGTAGAAATAAGTTTCCCTGGGAGCTATAATCTCCAACTATTCAAATGTAATGTCAATCGACATCTCCAGTTGCCTTGATCTATCCACTATCCTTCCCCTCATCCTTTCCTCTATCACTCCTATCTGATCTTGCTGCAAATCTTCTGTAACCCCTTGCGTCCTAGTGGATTCCCGCCTTGCTTGGGGTGAAACGCTTAAAAAAAAAAAAAAAAAAAAAAAGTCACGCCGTCTTAGTCAAAACAGAAAGACTTTTCAGTTATGTTCAATAAAGGCACATTAAGCTGAACTATACAACAAGTTTTCATTACAATGGTAAAATTGAATTTTTAATTTGAGGTGAGCTTTTTCTCGAACTAAAATAAGTTAATGATTTCTTTCATTATTTTCTCATAAAAGTTCGTAGATTTATGACACAAGAACTTAAGATTACAAAAAAGTCATAACCCAAGTGCACATATATGTATATAACCACACATTTCTTTATTTGTCGTTTACTATTATAATAGCTGTGCATGTTAGGTCTGCTGGCAGAAAAGTTGATTCAGTGTGTTGTTCTAGACAATTTTTCTTGCCAGGAGAGAGGTCCACAAGCAAGAAGTGCGAGAGAAGAAACTGTTAGCATAGAACTGACGGTTACCCGTCGATATTTCTGAGATGAGGTATTATGTGCACTATTTACATTATTCGGACTATTGTCCTCATCTTTGTCCCCATATTTATTACGTTTCGACCTTTCAGTATCTGTCAATATTTCTGAGATGAGGTACTATGTACACTATTTACATTATTCGGACTATTGTCTTCATCTTTGTCGCCATATTTATTACAACGTTTCGGCCTTTCAGTATCTGTCTATATTTCAGAGATGAGGTATTATGTATACTATTTATATTACTCGGACTATTGTCCTCATCTTTGTTGCCATATTTATTACAACGTTTTGGCCGAAGAACATAAATATGAAAATGTGTTAACACTGATTTACATACCATTTACATGTCATGAAACTTATTTGAATATCACTTCAACGTGTTGGCCATTTCAATGTAGTGTAATGGTTAACAAACTTGTCTAAGATCAAAATCTTGTCTAAGATTACAAAATCAAGAAAGTACAAAAAGTTAAACATCTGGCAAGCGTTTTAACAGGAACGTTTGACACCGAAATCCGAAGACGCATTGGGATGGTGAAAGGTACCTTTCAAAAGCTAAGCAAAGTATTAAGAAACAGGAAAATTCCATTAGAAACAAAGAAAATAGTACTGATCTGTTATGCAATATCAGTCCCCCTATATGCCAGTAAATGCTGGATAATTTGCTCAAAGATGAAAAGACTTGAAGCAACAGAAATACGGTTCTACAGAAGAATGTTGAGGATACAATGGGCTGAACATGTTTTAGAGAAAATGGAAACAAAAAGGCCTTTTATATTTAAAATCAGAAACGAGGAAAGAGGGCTTGGTAAATTTGACACTCACAGGATATATTGAAGGCGAAAGGAACAGAGGAAAGCAGTGCATAACCACTGCTTAACAAGCTTGCTTTTTTTTTTGATTGATTTATTTTTTATGGGTTATCAACCCTTTGCAGGTTATTTCAAGCCATAAAATATTTTTAGATTGTAAGAACGTTTTTTTTGGATAATAACGATTTTACTCATAAACGTCTTACTAGTTAACCCATAGCTGGGGGAGAAGAGGTGGATTCATATTCCCAAGGGTATTTGCGCGTAAGTGAATATAACGAATCCAATTTGAACTCGGTTCTCCGATTAACAATTCCGAGCCATTATCCATTACACCACCCGCACATCCAAGCTTACAACACCTGGTATTCCCAAGCGGTCACCCAACTAAGTACTGACCAGGCTCAACGTTGCTTAATTTCGTTGATAGTACGGTAACTGTTGTTTAAGTCCAGAACAGGAATTAGGAGAGATAACAAAATGACAATATTGTGGTAAAAGGGTTACAAAGGACAGGAAGTTGTGGATAGCCATGATCGCCCACTATCCAAACGGACAAGGCACATAGAAGAAGTGTGTTCGATCCTTACTCTGTGCTCTTATACTTTTGATCTTCTGTCGCATCCAGGCTTCGATTCGTAAGCTGCCAAGAATGTGTTAACATTGATTTATAAATTCAATGATAAGTAAAGTTGCTTATGGTTAAGTTTGATATTTTAATTTTTATTGAAGGACATATAGACCACACCACAGTTTTTCATAAATGCACACCTGAATAAAAGTTTCTGATAATAAAACCATTTAATTTCATTTAGGTTTATATTCCCTCCAATATAATGATTTTTAATAGGTACCTCCAAAAATTTGTTTAAAAATGACTATATATAAGTGTCCCAAACTTAAGAAAAACAAAGTTTTATCGTCAAAATCTGTTATTATTAAAAGAAAATACAAAAGGATTTTGATTATTAAATTATATTTTTTAATCCTTTTTAAAACGCTCTAAATTTTGATTAAAAATCTTGTTTTTTTTTCTGGCGTCAACGCGGGACCACAAATTAGTATAGAAATTTTGAGCGTCTTTTTTGTGGTGAAAACACATTGATTTAGTTGGAAATTCCATAAACAAAATCAAATAATTGTCGGATTTAAAAAAAAAACTTTTATTTACAATAAAATTTACTATTGTCCTCATCTTTGTTGCCATATTTATTACAACGTTTTGGCCGTTGTACACTCCGGCCTTCTTCAGGTGGTTGGAATGTTAAACTGAACCCTTTATTTCGCTCACTGGGGTAGACTGTTCCACGTGCCATGTTTGATGGATGTCAGTTATCAGTTATCTCCTGTTAATTCTCCTCTGAAACTTCTCCACTGCCTTAACCGGGTATTGAACTTACACTCTTTGGCTCCTGTCACTGGATCTAACTAACGCCTTTATCCACTGTGCCATGGGGACATCTGTGTATGAATTTCTGGGTATTATAAACTTAATGTCTTCAGCAACTATTTTTTACCAGTGCTCATAGTGCAATTTTTGCTGTTATCAATGCATGTTTTTACCAGAGCAATTTTTGTTGTTATTATTGCTTTTCTCTGGCACTCCTTATTACTGGTTCTCATATTGTATTCATTTCTATGCTTGGTCGGATCAGGAGATTTTTGTGGCCTAGCATATGTGCTGATTCCTTAAGTTTACGAATTTTCTAATAGTGTTCTTTGTCTATGATCTCAACCGGATGTCACAGAGGGCGATGATCTCTCTTCTCTCTCCATATGTGGCCAGCCACGCTTGATTTTTCCACTTCCCCTCGTGTCACAGCTTTCTGGTGTTCTTGAAGCCTTAGCGGTCTGTCTCCACTTTATATTTCTTACCGCAGCTGCACGGGATAGCGTACACACAGTTTTTAGTCTTATTTTGTAATTTGTATTATTCATTTATAAATATTTTGTTGCTTTACATCATTGTTGTCCTCTTTTGTATTGCCTTGTGCTATATATCTAAAGTTAAATATTTGAGGAGGAGAGAAATTTTATGCACTCAGCCGACCTCATATAACCAAATAGCCGCTCCTCGTCGTGGTGTGATGGTTAGAAAGCTTGTCTCATTAGAACAATTACGACTCGCTGGGTTTCCCCGACTTTCGGACTTGTGCCAAATCTAAGCCACTGTTAGAAAATCCACATAACCTTTTGTAGGGTACTTCCATATAGTTTAATGGTTAGCAAGCTTGTCTCACTAGATCAATTCCAACTGGATAGTGAGTTCGATCCTTACTGGGTGCTCCCTACTTTCGAACTTATGCCACATCTATGTTACACTTAAAAAATCATTTGACGCAGTGTAATGGTAAGCAAGCTCGTCTCTACAATTAGGACTGAGTAGAGAGTTCGATCCTCACTGGGTTCTCGAAGTTTCGGCCTAGTGCCACATAAGCTACACTTGGAAAGTCACTATGAAGGACACCCGGAGGCGGTGTGATCGTACCCGTAGTTTCTGCCTTGTGCCACACCTAAGCTACGCTTAGAAAATCGAGGCGGTGTAATGGTTAACAAGCTTGTCTTGTTAGAACAATTACGACTGAGTAGTGAGTTCGATCCTCACTAGGTGCCCCATACTTTCGGCCTTGTGCCACATCTAAGCTACGCTTGGAAAATCACTAGGCATCTCGAGGTGGTGTAATGGTTAGCAAGCGTGTCTCTCTAGAACAATTACGATTAGTTCGATCCTCACTGGGTGTCCCTTACTTTAGGCCTTGTGTCACATCTGAGTTACGCTTGGAAAAATCACTATAACCAAACAGCTTTTTGATCAATTTCCAAACTTATTAAACTTTCGCCTCCGCAACGAACGTGCCGATGTTTGTAACTACGGATGTCTATACACGTTATCAGAAAATATGAGTGGTGATTATAGCAAATTTAAAATTTATTGATAATTTTCTAACATTTCCTCAATAAATGTCTTCGCAAACAACATTTAAATTTTTTTAAAAAGATTACTGTGTAGTAAAAACGTATATGCTGCATTCGTCGTGTAATTTTATTACAATAATTAAGTTTCCTAAACATCAGGCTGTCGATAAATGTGTCAACACCTCACAAAAACAGTGTTAAAAATGCTGTCTGCGATATTTTAAACTAAAAGTAATATTTGTCTCGATTCAGATTAATTAAACCTTTGAGCCGTGACCACCGCTTTACCGGTGGTAGAGAAAAATTATGTTGCCCAGCCACCGGTTGAACAGTGGGTAAACACTTGTAACTCTTTTTATATCTACCGTGAAACATTACATACCAATTATTTGCGAATTTTGACTCAGGAGCTCAGGCAGAAGAAGTTTTAAAATTGTTCAGGAATGCAGGGTTCAAAGGGTTAAATATGTAACGATAGGAAGGAAGGGGTCAAGGAATTTCATTCTATGAAGGTCTAGAATTAATCCGAGCCTCACCCACTGAAGCTTCCCAGATTTTTGTCCCATGATCAGGTGGAACTAAGATTTTTAACCCGTTGAGCCGTGACCACCGCTTTACCGGTGGTAGAGAAAAATTATGTTGCCCAGCCACCGGTTGAACAGTGGTAGAGAAAAATGACTGAATGCCCAGCTAGCGGTTGAACGGTGGATAAACACTTGTAAGTATTTTTATATCTACTGTGGAACATTACATACGAATTATTTGCGAATTTTGATTCAAGAGCTCAGGCAGAAGAAAGGTTAAAATTCTTCAGGGTCGCAGGGCTGAAAGGGTTAAACTTTAAATCAGCTATAATGTTTCAGAAGAGTATATTTTATTTTTAAAAAATTTTTAATAAATAAAATTATGTTGTATTGACAGATTTGTCAATACAACATAATTTTAACGTTTTTATTGGAAAAAAACAACAAAACCAAAAAAAACAAAAAAAAAACCAATAAAAAAAAACGAATTCCAATCAATTTAAATTCAGTTTGAAATACAGTAAAGTATTTTGCTTATTCGAAATATTAAATTTGGAATTAAAACTAAAATATAAGCTTCAAGTAAGATTTTTTATTTTTAAAATGCATTTTAAAACTTAGGTATCGCTTTTTTAGAGGTCAGTCAGTTATGTCCTATGCATGATACACGCTTAGGCGACCATGTATCTTTCGATATATGACTGACGAGGCAGATTTTTTTCCATTTCTTTCTGCGGTAGTTGCCAGCCAAGGCTATAGAACCCAGTCTGTCCTGCTATTTACCAATAGCTGGGGGGTGGGGGTGGGGGAGAAGAGGATCCATACCTTTCCCAAGGATATTAGCACGTAAGTGAATGTAATGGATTCGACTGGAATTCGAACTCTATCCGACACCCTACGACTCCTGTACTAGTACTCTCATCTTCTCTGCCTGACTGTGGCTATTTTATGGCAGCAGGACGAGTCCATTATATCCGAAAAGGGTGGACCCCATAACAGGTAGGTAGTGAGATTTAATCATCATCCGGATTAAACATTTAGGAGTCGGGGGAGGGGATATCAAAAAAGCAATAAAAAAAGAATTGTATTGACCAAATATATAAATTATTTTGGCAATATGTTAATCTCAGTGTTGCTCTTTTCATCCTCTCTTAAAAAAACTTTCCAGATATTTAATTTTCCGCACTTGTTTGATTTTGGTATGTCCGATTTGCACTGGAAAATTTTGGTGCAAACAAAGCAAAGAGTGCTGAACTGTTATGCAATATCAGTCCTCCAATATGGCAGTGAATGCTGGACAATCTCTTCACGAATGAAAAAAAAAAAAATACTGGAGTCGACAGAAATGTGGTTCTACAGAAGGATGCTGAGAATTCTGTGTAAACAATGAAGGTGTCAGAGAAAATGGAATAAAAAAGAACGCTAAGAATCAGGAAGAGACAACTGAAATTTCTGGGACAGGGTACACAATGAGGAAAGAGGTTTTGAAGAATTTGTCACTCAAAGGACGTAGTGAAGGCAAAATGAACGGAGAAAGGCAGCGGGACAACCATCTGACGAGTTTGTGTGAATAAATGGCAGAACAGGGGTGGGTATGATGGCAAAGTGACAAATGTTGCCATTAGCTACACGTGATAGAAGGTTGTAGAGAGCCCTGAACGCCCATGTCCTGAATGGCCACGAGACACAGAATATTTTTTATTAATACCATAAAATTTTCTACTCAACGCGAAATATTTTATGCGGAACATAGGTCACTCAGATTGTCCGAAAATGAAATTTTTGAAAAAAAAAAAAAAAAAAAAAAAAAAAAAAAAAGCTTGCTCTCTTTTTATTAGCGACAAGTGATAGGAGGTTGTGAAGAGCCATGATCGCCAACATTCACATAGAAGACGAATAATGCCAGTCCTCCTGTATGGCAGTGAATCCTCACATATGAAGAATATACCTGAGGCAACAGAACTGTGGTTCTACAGAAGGATGTTGAGAATTTTGTGGATGAAGCGTGTGAGCAACAGAGGTGCCTTAAAAAAATGGAATAAAAAAGCTGGAGGTAAATCTCTTTTTCCTCAGGCTTTCAGCCTTATTACCTCGAAAATGTAAGCGCTCACAGAGAGATAGCGTTTCCCAAATGCTGGGAACACGCTAAGCACAATACACGCACATATATAATATTACACACACACTTTGTCCTTTGTAACTGTTTCCATGTAACTTGTTATTAATATATATATTTGTATACATATATTATCGGTCTTGTGTTTTGCTTGTTTTCTTTGCATACTTTGGACTTAATTAAAAGTCCAACTTTCTCGTTTAGTTGGACCAACTAACAGGAAAATCTGAACCCACATGTTTCTTCTACGTCTACTCAACAACATTACAGCCACGGTCCTGTACAAGCTAAAGAAAAGGGGGGGCAGGAGTTTATGAAGAGCCATGAACAGTCACGTCCTGAAATGCCAGGTCACATAGAAGTATTTTTTTTTTTTAAATCAATACCATAAACTTTTCACTAATGAAAAACATTCTACTGAAGGGGAAATATTTTATACGGAGCTATGGTCCACGTAAAATTTTGCCCTAAGCCTCAACAAATATTTCGGCAAGCCCGAAATAGTGTTGAATAAGAATTAAAAAGAATGGTTTGCACATTTTCTAAGCAGTCAGAATAATTTTTTTGGAGGTTTTTGAGTTGTCATTTTTACCATTGTATATCAATAAAACTAAAAGTAGAGTAGAAATTTTCTTTATGTAAAGAAATGAGTTGTAGGTACCTCCACAAAAAAAAAACAAAAAAATAAAATAAAAAAAAAAAAAAAAACCGATACGTAACGTTTAAAATTAATTTTTAATAATGAAAAATCTTTTTTGAAGCTTTAATTTTAGTTTTGATTTCAAGTTGGGAGATTAAATTTAATAGTTCCAATAAGAAACATTTTGGGGTCTGTCTATATTTCTGAGATGAGGTATTATGTACAGTATTTACATTAGTCGGACTATTGTCCTCATCTTTGTCGCCATATTTGTCACAACGTTTCGGCCGTTGTACGCCCCGGCCTTCTTCAGGTAGTTGGAATTTCGAACTGAACCCTTTATTTCAATCACTGGGGTAGACTGTTCTAGTTCCACATGCCATGTTTGATGGATGTCAGTTATCAGTTATCTCCTGCTAATTTTTCCTCTGAAAGTTCTCCACTGCCTTAACCAGGTATTGAACTCGCCTTCTTTGGGTCTGTCACTGGATCTAACCAAATTTGAAAACGAATTTAAATTGATTGGAAGGATTTTATTTTAAATTTTTAATTATTTTTTTGATTTATCACCGTTTTTAACGAAGTGTTATAAAAAATGTCGTAGAGTAAGTGGAAAGTGAACAGTATCAAATCAAAGGAGCAAATGACAAAAATAAACACACCGCGCAAGGGCTTCACGCAGTCTTCCGGGTTTCAAACATACTTCAAATTTCAATTTAATAAAAATAAATACCAAATAAAATCAACTCCCACTAATAAATAAGGAACCTACACGAGGCCATAAAAAAAACAAACATTCATTCAACTCAGCGGAAAGACTGACAGCAGTAAAGAGACACGAGTCAACCTCGTCGTCCTGTCTTTCTCACCAAAGCAACAGACGACTCCCTTTGATCTTGTCACACCACTTTCTCTTTTCCTTACTGGACGACTATTTATATTCATTTCCTTACAGACAAAGCGAAGAACTTTCTAGCTTTCGTTTCATGATATGTAATTACTGTTAAAATTTGTGTATCTTACGTTTAAATAATATCATTTTATTTGAAAACGCGACAATCTTTTCTTAATTTTCTTCCACAAACGGTGACCTATGGAACCTTTCTCCAACAATGTCAATCTCTTTATTAAAAAAAGTTTCCAAAATAAAAATATTTTCTGAATCTTTATTTGAGGAATTTGAAGTCTGATTTGAAACAATTATTATTTAAAAAAAATTTTAAATGCATTTTTCAACATGACAAGTAGTAGCTTGTTTATTTATGGTGACAGTTTTTAACAGCTTCGTGTTATATAGTTCGATGACAAGATAGATTCTTAACGTTATCTAATGTTGTTATACAATGTTGTATTGTTCTACGACACGTGATCAGTAGTTAACTTCTGCTTCTTGCCTCTTAGTTTGATAAACACATTGAGTTTTACTTCGTTTTTGTCTTCTACTTTTATGCAAATAGGTACAATTATTTACCAATCCGCTACAAAAAAAAAAAAAAAAAAAGATAAAAATAAAAACCATGTGATCTGTAGAAATATTTTATTTAGCATTCGTTTCCATACTTATCTGGGGTTAAATTTAATTAATCTAAGTATAATTTTCAACTCCAAAACAAAGGCATTCCCTAAAAATTAAAAGTGAAAATGACAGTGGTGCTTGACCTATTTCTTTAACTTTTTTTTTTTTTTTTTTAGGAAGTTTTTGAGTAGTTCACGGTTTTTTTTTTACCAATGTATATCAATTAAACTAAAACTACAGCAGAATTTTTCCTTATGAAAACAAATGTTGTGTTGTTCTGACACGTGATCAGTAGGCAACTTCTGGCCGTTTCTTACACTTTACACACTTTATTGTTATTTTCTATTTTATCATCTAACTTTAACATATGCAAATTAGGTACAATCCTTTACCAATCCACTCTACAAAAAAAAAAAAAACAAAAAAAAACGAAACAACAACGAACGAAAAAAAAAGACAAAAACAGGGAATCTGTAGAAGAGAATTATTTTTCTTTGGTAAATTTTCATTTTAACATCCGAGCGTCATTCACTGCTGAACTATTTTTCTTTCAGAAATTAGTACCCGCTTCCATAAAGCGATTTTTTTGTACTTAAGAAGAAAGTTAACTTTCAAATATATGTAAACATCGGCAAATAAAAGAATAACAAAAGAAAAAAAAACACCTAACCCTAATTTGAAAGTTAACTTTTAAGTACAAAAAAAAAAAAAAAAAAAAAAAAAAAAAATCGCTTTACGAAAGCGCATACTAATTTCTGCAAGGAATTACTGTGAAGGAAGTAAATAGGCCCAAATTGTATACGTCCACCAACAAAATTCAGCACTGAATTTCTTATCAATAAGCCGGTAATGGCTGACGAAAGACCAGAAAAAGTCCGATTTTTTTCAATCGTTAACACCCAAAAAAAATCAGGTTTCTTTAATTGTTTATAGAGTTCAGCATATACATTTGCACGGAAATAATAAGACTATTTTGGAAAAATTTGAAGGGATATTAGCGCTCGGCTGTTAAAATAAAAATTTACCTTTTCTTTTACATTCACTTCGATCCATATTTATCTGGGGTTAAATTTGATAAATCTAAGTAGGATCGGAGTTGAAAATCCTATTTAAATTAAATTTAATCACAGATAAAGCGTATAGAAAATGTTTTGTCTCTTTATTTTTATTTTTTGGTAAATAAAAGAATTTTACTTAGCAGTGCCTGTCATTGAGCATTCCAAAAAACACCATCCCTCAAAAGAAAAAAAAAAAAAAGGGAAAATGACAGCGGTGCTAGAGCAATCTTTGATCCGAGTTCCATGGACAAGTGGAACTCTGTTACATTTGGCCTCATGCCACACCCCGTTTGAGTGCGCGTACAGCTGATTATCAACTTCAAAATTAAGGGCATCAAAAAAAAAAAAAAAAAAAAAAACGAAACAAAATAAATCGCTTCATGTTCAGTAATAAAACATTTAGCAAGCAAACATACAACAAGGAAGGAAATTGTTTGTAGATTTAAAAATAAAAATTTCCCCGCTTACCTGAAATTTAAATTCTGCCAATTAGTTTTCAGGAGGCCTGAGTCGAGCGTAACAGAAAGAAATCGATCAGAGACAGTTTCAGCGACCCCAGACGTAAAGATCGTCACATTCACAGAATAAACGTTCGTGTGGTTACCAGATTGATTGTCCCTGGCAGCCGCATTATGAAAAAAGAGAAACAATAGCAGGAAAACACTCGGCCAGACATTAAACGACGACATCGTTGTTGTTTAAATGTAACAAGGAGAAAGTTATCATGTGCAGCACGGTGTAAAGCGGAAAATAATTCCTCTTTGAAAATTCGTCCGGTATAACAAAGACGAATGTTTCGCTTAGGAATAAAAAACGGCTAACATGTTGCGTAATATATAGTCTATGTGAGCAAAGAGGCGTGTCTTAGAAAGTCACTCCTATTTTCTTTAGAAAATGAGATCTACAAAGGCACTAATTATTAAAATGCTGAAAGAAAGAGAAAGAAAAAGGGCGTTTTTAAGAGATAAGGTAAATATACCATCGATTCAAAATGAACGCTTTTTTGCCGAAATGAAAGCAAAAATTCGCTATCCACTAAGTTCTAAATTATTTGCCAAAAATCAAACAATTATTATATTATCCAATTCAAACGAAAATTTCAGTACTTATTCATTTTACTAGCAGTTAAAAACCTGTTTTCGACCGGGTGTTTCATTTCTGGGAATTTTTGCCGTTCAATTGGAGCTGTTAAGTTTAAAGTCAGCCCAACCTAAAAATCAATATTAGTAACAAAACTTGGGTGTAACTGAGGCACATCCCCAAATGGGGGGTAGCCCTGAAAAGGGTAGTTTTTGCGTTCTCAATAAGAAACCTCTGGTAAATTTGCTTTTTAATCTCCGCGCTAAATATCTATTAAAATTTTCCGAAATCGTCATATTTCCGTGTAAATGTACAGTGTAACCCGGATATAAGACAGTTGTCGGGACCGGAGGAGAAGTCTCTTATATCGGGGTTTCTCTTATATCCGGGTTACACTGTATATGCTGAACTCGGAATAACAATTAAATTATGATAAAACCTACCGTTTTGGAGTTATCGACAAGAAAAAATCGTACTTAGTGTCGGTCATTCGACCGCCATTACCGGCTTTGTGTAATTAGATTCACTGCAGATCACTTCCGTCGCGCAATCATAACTTTTTGGCCTATTTACTACGTTTACTGATGTTACTTGTCTAAATTACTGCGCACTATCGTAAAGCAATGATTAGGATTGTTTTTTTTAATTCTTTATACATACATACATACATACATACATACATATGAAGAAAAATATGGAAAAACAAAAATCCGAATACGCAAATATGCTGTTTTAATGTTGTTTCAATGTCAACGTCAGACGTTTCGTTCTAGTAGACCTTCTTCAGGACATAGTTATTAAAACATAATTAAAATTAGACGATAAGTCAACATGAAAAGACGATAGACATAAGACTAATCAAAACAGAATAACTGAGATTCAACCAACATCAAACTTCATTTAGAATAAATAAATATAAAAATCAGACATCTCTCTCAAAATACACCTATAAAAAAAATAAATTAAAAAAAGGGGCAATGAGGTAGTATACATACTTATATTTAACATGAAAATATTTAAAAGATTCAACCAACATCAAACTTCATTTAGAATAAATAAATATAAAAATCAGACATCTCTCTCAAAATACACCTACAGTATAATGGAAGTTAATAAGAAAAGCTAGAATATGTAGGTCATTAAACGACCCATGTCCTTTGTGCATATACGAGAAACTATATATTACTAAGTTTATAAAAAATAAAAAATTTACTGAATCAGAGAAATGAAATAGCTATTATATGCCGTCATTGTCAAAAGTTTTCCTTAAATAATATTTAAAAAATCTAAAAATAAAAATAAATTAAAAAAAAGGGGTAATCAGGTAGTATACATACTTATATTTAACATGAAAAATAATTTTATATACAGTAAGTAATTATATTACATTTACTTGTTTTTTCTTTATAAAAAAAAGTCTATTGGAATAACAGTGAAAATATTTTAAAGTTGTATTTAAAATTGTAGTTAAAACGAATTCTAACCTAAGCATCTTTTAAAAATTGCAGTTAAATAAAATGTATTCTAACCTCTAAAAAAAAAAGTACTACCGGCACTTAAATGAATCCAATAAAACACCTACTGAAAAATGAAATTATAACGAAAAGCTAGATGATGTAGGCCTTTGAACGACCCATGTACTTTGTACATACATATGAAACTTTATTACTTAGTTTATATATATTTAAAATAAATAAATAAATAAATTAATTAATATATAAAGTTTACAAAATCTGAAAAAGGAATTAGCTATTTTTGCAGTAAGTGCCATAGATATTACTTAAATAATATTAAATATAAAAGTTTAAAAATCGTAATATACATATACTTTGATATGGAAAAATAATTTTACTTACTATAAGAAATTTCAAATACATTTCCTTCTGTTATAAAGTAATATAGTCTATGAAAACTAACAATGAAAATATTTTAAAGTTGTAATTAAAATTGTAGTTAAATAAAATGAATTCTAACCTAAACTTCTTTTACTTAGTACTACACGCACTTCAAAGAATCCAATAAAACACCTATAGTAACATAAAATTAATATGAAATGCCAGGAGATGTAAGCTTTTGAATGACTCATGTCCTTTGTACTTACATGAGAAAAAATATATTACTAGGTTTATGTATATAAAAAAAAAAAAAAAAACTAAATCAGTGAAATTAAGTAACTATTTTTGCCGTCATTGTCATAAATTTTACTTAAAAAAAAGTACCCTAATATACATACTTATACTTGATGTAAAAATAATCCTACATAATATAAAATTCTAATACATTTAACTGTTCATAAATATATATATATATATATATATATATATATATATATATATAATATAATAAAAATTAAAAATGAGAATATTTCAAATCGTAGTTAAATAAAACGTATTCTAATCTGAACACCCCGAAAATCTTTAAATTTACAAATAGAAAAAAAATGCCGTAAGAATTTTTTTGCCGTTAACAATAAATTTAAAAAAATCCAGACGACATGCATTCAACGGATGTCAGTTTTCATTGAAAATACATCCCTACCCTTACCAAAATGTAGCTAATAACCGATACAATGATAGAGACATAAGGAAAACCCAGACATCCCCTTGTCCAGTTGAAGTAGATTTATCTGTAACCATGGAAACGTGATTTTACCTGTGTCTTTAAAACCCAGTAATTTTAAAAGTTACTCCAAAATTCGCTTGTGGATTTAATTTAATTGCAAAATTAAATTCGTGGCTTTTAGCTTCCATTTTTGAAACATGGTTAGAACTGTGTAAAAAAAAAAAAAACATATTTTAAATCAATTAATTTATAATATACATATATATATATATATATATATATATATATATATATATATATATATATATATATATATATATATATATAAATTCTAGCAAGAACAAATTTGTTCTTGTTATATTTTCCTTTCTAGCATTTTTTTACATTGTAAATTTATTTGTTAATTTACCTTGCTCTTTACAAAATTTGAGCATTAATTATTGTTTGTTTTATTTTCTATTTAAAAAAAATACTTCACTGTATTATTTAATTTGTTCTTTTTGTTCTTTTTTAATTTTTCATTGCTATTCTACACAGAAAAAAGGTTTTATTGTATTATTTAATTTGTTTTTGTTTAAAGTTTTCTCTTGTCATTGTTTTACGATAGTGCGCAGTAATTTGACGAGTAAAAGCAGTAAAAGCAGTAAATAGGGCAAAAATTATGATTGAGCGTCCGGAAGTGCCCCGAAGTGAATGTAATAAAAACAATGGCCGTATTGGTGGACTAATGACCGACACTAAGTACGATTTTTTTCTTGTCGATAACTCCAAAACGGTAGGTTTTATTATAATTTAATTGTTATTTCGAGTTCAACATGTACATTTACACGGAAATATGACGATTTCGGAAAATTTTTACTAGATATTTAGCGCGGGGATTAAAAAGCAAATTTACCGAACCTCTTGCATGGACCATCATAAAAATAATATACGATAATTTTTATTTATAATATAATTTTTTTTAATAATTCTAAAATTCTTTTGCGTTAGATTTCAACTCTCTAAATTGATTGTACGCTGTTTTTTACAGACATTAAATTCTGCCTTTGATTTTTGTGCTGAGTGTAAAAAATCAGTTTTTTTCAATTTTTCACCTTCAAGGTTGTAATTTTTTCCAGCCAATTTGGACTCAAAACCGGAACTGAAGAATTATCTATCAAAAAAAAAAAAAAGAAATTTCATTGAAATCTGATGAAAACTGAAACGCATAAGCAACATCCGATCACACACACACACACACACACACACACACACACACACACACACACACACACACATTTTGAAAATCATACTTATTATAAAACCCAGGTTGTGTGTGTGTGTGTGTGTGTGTGTGTGTGTTGTATCTGTTTATATATTGGATCGGATTTCCTACATTTTTCAACCGATTTCAACAAAACTTCACAAGACTACGTAAAATTACCTTGCGGTGGTTCTGACAGCGCCAAAAATTGGAAAAACACAATTGTTTTTGCACGAAATCAATTTGAAAACACGATTAAGAGACATCGCGAGAATGAAAGGGGGACAACTCATATCAAGTTATACTTATTATAAAACCCAGGTTGTTTGTGTGTGTGTGTGTGTGTGTTCGTTTATATATGAGATCAGATTTCCTACATTTTTCAACCGATTTCAACAAAACTTCACTTTTTTTTGGCAGGCAGTGTTTCTCATTGTCTTGCACACTTTTTTCTTTATTTTTACATTCCGAATGCTTTAAAAATTCCATTTACAAGACAATTGTTTATAATAAAATTCTATTCAATCGGTAGACTCATAACGATTGAAAACAATGTTTTCGTTTCAGTTTGGGTTTGACCAATTCGTAAAAAAACAAAACAAAACAAAAAAAAACTAATTAAGACCTGCGTGTCCGTCAACCTTAAACAATAATCTTTGTCAATTTTATTTTTCATTCTTTATGATGGTCGATACTTGATCTATTTCTTACTGTTACATCCCCGGGCAACGCTGGGCTCTACTGCTAGTTATAGATATAGATTAATGAATTGTGTATGGATTAGTGAATATTATTTTATTATTAAAATACTGTTGTTAAATGTGCTTTTCTTCTTTGTTTCTCAGTCCAGTGGTATGAAAAATAATAAAAAAAGGTAAAAAGAAAACAATATTTTTTGGTTCGATTAAAAGAAATTTGTGAGAATGGAGATCAAGCGACAACAAGGCGATCCATAAAAAATGGCGAAAGATACTAAATGCGACATAAAACCAAAACAATATTATTAAAATAAAATAAAAGCAAATTTCACTAAATTAGGAGTGAACGAATTTACTATGTAGTGGACACTTACGTACACCACACCCGCAAATTACTCAACAGTAATTGGAGGGAAAATAAACAATACCTTTTGTACAGACAATTTATGCATCGCACGAGCCACATAAAAATTTCTGGTGTTTTTGCTTCACCAAACTAGCTATAGAAAAAAAAAAATCAACGATTGGTCGATTTTTGTCCAATCACATTAAATGACACTTTCTTCAATATCCTTCCCGCGCTCGTTCTGGGAGCCATCTTACATCTATATAAAGTAGAAATTAAAGAAATAACTTCAGTAGATTATAAATTTTCACAACCTAAACCACGTATGTGTATATTCAATTTTCTACTCACAAACACACACAGATATAAACTACACTCACACAACACAGTGTACTGTCTGTTTTCAAGCCAAGTGAACTATTCGAACTATATCATTCTTCTGCACAAGTATTTCAACTTTCAAACTCAAACATCAAACATTCTTAAACTAACAACAGATTTAAACAAAAGACATTATTAATACATACATTTGTTCTTCACACAATACAAGGGAAACCACTTCGTGTGACTTAATCTTTATTGTTATTAACAGAATTATATGTATATGCTTGTTTTAAATACATGTTTACTTGTTGATTTTC